AACTTGTATACTTCAATGTTCTGATTTGTTTGTATGAATTCAATATTTGGCTTGATGGCAACATCTGGTGGAAATGTTGTGTCAATAGTCCACTTAGAAATCCCCTTACTGATAAAAATGCTGATGTGTCAAATACTTATTTTCCCCGCTGTAAATGCACACATTTCAGAAAATGGGTGCGGTGTGTTCCAGTGAATAACAAAGGTCTTTTGTTTGGGAGACAGAATAAGACCCTCAATAGAAATACCTACATTGGGACTTTGAACAATATTCAACAGAATACACATGCCATCCTGTCTGATGTATATGTTTTAAATGTGCTGCATTTTTGCTTTTTCATTTGACATGTTAATGAACAGTAATAAAAATGTTATTTTTCTAACTTCTAACTTTATCCTTCTAAAGTTTGGTCCAAATATACTGAGCAAATACTGAACTCCTTCACTTTAGGTCTGAGTCATTGCTGAAATTAACGATTAAACCGTCGAGTCACGTGCCCTCTTCACAATTTCAGGATTACGTTAGTTGGTAGGAGTGATCCTAGATGGTAAGCAAGCTTTGTAATCATGTGTTACCAACATTAAATCTTCTGCTTTTACTTTACAAAAATATTTTGTTTGCATTAAAATGTCCTTGTTTTAAATACTTAAACACTAAAATGTAACGAATGAAGTAAATGTGTCTTATTCATTGTGGTTAGAGAACACAGCTGGAGGGGAAATGTTGTAATTCTGGTGTTTCCTGATTCTACCAATGCTGGACTGCATCTTGTTTTTTATCATGTACTGTCAGCTGACTGTTTTTGCACTTACTTGAATGAACCTCTTTGTGACTAACATGACCGATATTCACAGAGCAATGTTAATATTATTCAGAGTTTTATTAAGCTAGTACAACAAACAAAAAAACAAGGTGAGCAACACAAAGCTCAGGCAGAATCCAGACAGACAAGGTCCAAACTGCAGTCAGAAAGTGAATAGTAAAAACATAAATGCTCTCATAAAAAAGAAAACACTACAGTTGCAAAGGTTAAACTGGCAAAGGTGATGATGGTAAGTTAGAGGTATAATTTCAGTGGGACTTATTAGTGGTGCAGGAACAAATCGTCTTCACTAAACCTGGAAACAACAACCAAACAAACAGCAGAGACGGCAACTCCAGAATGTTGAATTAATGGATTAATGCAGACCTTCATCAGATCTCTTATTAAAAGAAGAAACAAAATCAAGCACCTGGATTCTTCCATGACTTTAAATCACAGATGAGCTGCAACAGTGTGTGACCGAAAGAGTCCCGATGAAACTTCTAGTTTCATCATAGTCATCAACTCTAATTTTAAAAACCAGAGGTTGCAAAACATAAGTTACTGTGCAAGTAACAGAAGGATGGGGAAAACATGAAAGACAACTTCATTTTAAAAACAAGTAATTCTCACAGATGGAGGGGCTACATCGGCCACAACTGTTTGACTTCCATGGAGTCTCCATGATCAACGCTTTCACTGACAACTGGGACAACGTACAGAACTTCAAAGCAAGACCAGATGATATTGTTATTGCTACGTACCCTAAAGCAGGTTTGTTAGTTAGTTACTTACTTAGGTTATAAAATTGTTAGTGCTTTTTAAATAACGTTTTCCCATTTTAATGTTAACGTGCAAGTTTCCGACTTTACAGTGTGCATTGGCTGAAAGACACTATAAGGATGCTATCTGACTGTGTTCATTTGGATTATGGGGCTTATATCATCATGTGCTGATATCACACCAAACAATATGCATTTATCTGTTTCGCACCCAGGAACCACATGGGTCTCTTACATCATAGATCTTCTGTATTTTGGGCACATGGGTCCAGCTCGTCAGACATCCATCCCTCTTCATGACAGAGTGCCCTTTCTGGAGCTCTACGTACCTTTTCTACCTTCAGGTTGAATCTTGTGACCACCTTCAATTAGCCATATTTGTATTAGACCAGATCCAAAAGCTCAATGTCCTAATTTCACTTTGGTTCTTATTTGTCAGTCAAAAGGAAATTCAAAAAACATTCTGAAACAGGTAACAAATAGTTACAACTACAAATACAGCCTTGTTCAATAGCTTTGTGATGGTTCTGGCAGTTTTATTGGTGTGTAAATCTGTTAAGTTAGTCATAGCACCTCAAAAACACAATGTTTGGGCAATTCATGTTGTTGATCTGTGGTCTATAAAGAAATCTATCTTTGCATGTTCTGTTGCAAACGGTTCCTTCTTATCTCTACCTTACTCAGGTACCGATTTGGCAGACAAACTTCCCACCACTCCTCGTCTCATTAAAACTCATCTACCAGTCCAGTTTGTACCAAAGTCCTTCTGGGAGCAGCGCTGCAGGGTAAAAGCACACATACCTGTAGTCATAGAGACATGGGATTTATGATACCCACAGTGTATAATTCAACGTTTCCTCTTTCTGTAGGTGGTCTATGTGGCCCGCAATGCAAAGGACAATGCAGTGTCCTATTTTCACTTTGAACGCATGAACATTGGCATGCCAGAACCAGGAGACTGGAGCACCTTCCTGCAGGACTTCATGGAGGGAAAGAGTGAGTTTAATTTATTTTTAGTGTTAAGGACAAAACATATTGTCACATTTCCTGTATAAACATTCCTTTGTGTGTTGTTCTGTGTCTGCAGAGGTTTTTGGATCGTGGTATGACCATGTGAACGGCTGGTGGGAGAAGAAACAAACTCATTCAAATTTTCACTACATGTTCTATGAAGATTTGATTGAGGTATCATGAGTTTGGCTAACATGTGTGCCATTTTTGACAGAGATCTTAATATTTAAAATTATCATATAACAAAGGATGTTAAATATGAGGCTGCAAGGCAGGAGGAAAATGTGAAAACCAGAAAGAGTATTCATGGATTTAGTAAAAGAGGACATATGTGTATGATAGAGGAGGATGCTAGGGATAGGGGAGATGATCCACTGTGTCATCCATTGCAAACAAAAAGTGGCACAAAGTCAGTCCCTGAAATAATTTGCATCTTGAACCTATTTCTCACACCTACTGACCGACTTACTGTCCTCATAAATGTTGTGCACCACCCTCACAAACTACTCCCCTGAATTCCTCATAGAGTACCACAGTTCCTCTCTTGTCTCCCACATATGCCCTCTCCACATCCACAAAGATACAGAGCAACTACTTTTGACCTTCTCTACACTCTCCAAGCAAACATTACATCTGTAGTGCTCTGTCTGCTGCTCTCACTGCTGCTCGTTGATCGCCACCTCTCTTCTTAATCTAGCTTCAGTCACTCTTTCCCATATGTTCATGCTATGGATCATTAACTTTATCCCTCTGTAGTTACCACAGCTCTGTACATCCCCCTTGTTCTTGAAAACACATCTTCTCCATTTCTCAGGCAACTCTCATTCTCCAAGATGTTAAACAATTTGATTAAAAAGTCCACTCCTCTCTCTTGTAGACATCTCCATACCTCCACAGGTATGTCATCTGGACCACCTGCCTTTCCACTCTTCATCCACTTCATAGATGCACTACTTCTTCTGCATGTCCTGATTCACTATAAGTCCTCAATCCAATCTCCTTCCTCTCTTCTCCTCATTCATTTTTCAGCATATTCTCCTCACTTGTTAATACATTTCTGTCTCTATCCTTAACCGCCCGCCTAACCAATCGATAGGCGTTTATTGTTAACCCAGCCCCTGATCTGTTTGGTATGGAAATCTTAATTTTGAAAATCTGCATATTTGATCTGGCAAAGATTGGGTTATGTCTGAAAACTGTAGTTCGCTGAATTGTTTCTGATGCATAAACTGCAAAAAAAGAAAACCTCAGATCCGAGGTTTAATAATAATAAATAAAATACAAAGAATGGTCAAAGTCTGACGTCTTTAAATTGAAAAGTCACAGAGAATGAACAAAGACACAGACAACTAAAATGTGTTTTCACATGTCAATTTATGTTTTCCCTAGTGCTATTAATAAATAGCACTAGAGAGCAGAAGAAAAAAAAACATACATTCCATGTTGGAGTGAACTGTCCCTTCTAAACTTATTCATATTTTCAATATTGATGTTAACAGGACTATGAAAAAGAAATAGACCGACTGTGTTCCTTCCTTGGTTTGTCTCCTTCAGTTGAAGAGAAGGAAAGAGTCAGAGCCAGTGTGACGTTTGACAGCATGAAACAAAACAAGATGACCAACTATTCCACAGTTCCTGTGATGAACCAAGAGGTTTCTCCTTTCATGAGAAAAGGTACAACTGCCTGCTGGGCAACATTTGTTTCTCAGTATTTGCGCAGTCCAGTAGTGCTGATCAAATACACTTTTTCTTACACCCTGTCCCGTCTGGCAGCTTTTGTGATCAGAATTGTGATCTGAATGAACTGTGGTGCCAGCCCCAGCCACACACACACACACACACACACACACACACACACACACACACACACACACACACACACACACACACACACAGACCATTTACTCACTCACTTTCACCCACTAATGACACATGACACACACAAACACTTAATGTTGAAGGAGTGTTAGGTGGGTGTGTCATGGAGCGTGAGCGTACAGGACAAGTATGACTGTGGGTTTGATCAAATACTCTGAATGTTCTCCTTCTCCAGGGAAAGTTGGTGACTGGAAGAACCACTTCACTGTGGCTCAGAATGAGCAGTTTGATGAAGACTACAAGAAGAAGATGAAGAATCCTGAGCTAAAGTTTCGCTGTGAAATTTAGAGCCCTGGCTGAGCGTGATGGAGCTCTGAAGTTAACTAGTTGAGGATAAACCAAGTGTTGAGACAGATTAATTAGTATCCCTATTGTAGTATTAGTATTCCTATATTATAATGCTTATCCAGTTCAGGGTTGTGTGGCGACTCGAGCCCATCTCAGCTATCATAGGGTGAGGCAACAGTGCTAACCAACACACAACCATGGTGCCAAATAACGTATTAACTGAAATTAATTTGATTTTTTTATTTGATATGCTCCCATTTTGATTGTATTCAAAGAGATGCAAAAATGTCTGTTATTGTTATTATGTCTGTTATTGTTATTATCCTTGGATAGCATGCTGTTCAGTAGTGTGTTTAATGTTTTGTGCAACAAAATAACCAAAACTGTTTGCGATTTTTGCTGATAGCATTGAATGAACAGATTTAATCTGGTTTATCTGAATTTATACTACTGGGTCTGGCATTAAAAAGCCCAGCTAGGCATGATGGAGCATTGAACAGATGTGTGCATGTCCCAACAAATAAATAAAAATATATGTATGGATCATCAGAATTAACCACAATTTAACTGACATTCGTTTTGCTGTTTTTGCACTTGCACACACAGATAATAGCCATCTTAGAGGGTGACATAGGGAGACAAATAACTATTCATTTTCACATCCACAACAGTCTTTGGAATGTGGGAGGAAGCTAGAGTACCAGGAGAGTCCAAACATGACCCAGACTATTGGCTCGTGTGGTGAAGGTGAAGTTAAGGACATCTGCCCTTAACTTCACTATTAAAAAACAACAACTAAATACTACATAACCATTCAGTAACAAATAAAGAATAAAAAGGTATATGGTAAATAGAGTTGTAAATACAGACACAACACACAGACCTGGTATGAATCAAGCAAAAGAAGTAGAAAAGAGTCCTTTGCATTGCGGGCCACATAGACCAAGAGAGCTAGCATTCTCAGTCTTCTCATCTTCTTATTGTTTTGTTGGGATGTTCAGAATAATTAAATACAGCCTTTTAAAATATAATGAAAACCTCTCTTGCACTTCTTCAAAACAAGGCTGATGCTGAAACTTTTCAATGTGAACGGGACTGTGGCCAAAGAATAGGCGGACTGTGTTCCTTCCTTGATTTGTCTCCATAAGCTGAAGAAAAAGAAAACAGCCAGAGCCGGTGTGACCTTAGACAATATAAATCAAAACAAAATGACCGACTACTCCACCTTCCAAACAATGAACCAGACTGTGTCGCCTTTCATAAGACCTGTGCACTCATACAGGTTTGGTTGCTTTTTTCTTTGGTCTGATCTCACTGTATACTATTGTGTTCATGTTTGAACAGTAATACTCACAGACACACATCTAAGGAAGTTGTGCAGTGTGTTAAAGTGAACGTTGTGCAACAAACAGATTTCTTTCTTCTGGAAGATCCAGACCCAACCGCAGTACAGAAATACTCAGCTTGGTGAGTGTGTAGTACATCAAGTAATATTCACTAGAACAAACATGCTAGACTGAAAGATGTGTATCTTTTAAAACTGTGGTGCTTTTTTGTTTTTGTTTGGCGTAAATGGCCAGAAAAATCAAACTTTTCTAACTTCATGCTCACTCACTATATGTCTGAGTCATTGCTGAAATTAATGGCTAAACCGGCGAGTCACGCCTCTTGTTCACAATTTCAAGATTATGTCAGTCAGCAGGAGTAACGCAAGAAGGTAAGCAAGCTTCAGGATGTTTAGTTCCCAACAATAAATCTGTGGTTTTTACTTTATATACAACTTATTTTATTTAGAAAACAAAAGAAATATAAATGTTTATTATCTCTCTTTTTTTTTATTTAATTTGAATATTAATTAAGTTATTCTTTAAATTTCACCATGTGTCTTGCTTAGTGTGGTTGGTGAACACAGCTGAAAGGAAAATGTTGTAATTCTTGTGTTTCTCAGTTTTACCAATGCTGCAGTGTGTACTTTGACCTCTGGTTGTATGGCAAGCTGTTATTTATTATTTATTTATTATTTTTATAAATCTCTGTTAACCCTAAAATCATCAACTAATTAATAATTATTATTACATTAACTACTGATTTTTTTATTGCAATTACTAGTTTAATTTTACTGATGACTCGTTATACCATCTTGCATCATGTCAATATGCCCAGACACTATCTCTACTTTTAAGATTAGGCTTAAAACTTTCCTTTTTGCTAAAGCATATAGTTAGGGCTGGACCAGGTGACCCTGAATCCTCCCTTAGTTATGCTGCAATAGACATAGGCTGCCGGGGGATTCCCATGATGCATTGAGTTTTTCCTTTCCAGTCACCTTTCTCACTCACTATGTATTAACAGACCTCTCTGCATTAAATCATATCTGTTATTAACCTCTGTCTCTCTTCCACAGCATGTCTTTTATCCTGTCTTCCTTCTCTCACCCCAACCGGTCGCAGCAGATGGCCGCCCCTCCCTGAGCCTGGTTCTGCCGGAGGTTTCTTCCTGTTAAAAGGGAGTTTTTCCTTCCCACTGTTGCCAAAGTGCTTGCTCATAGGGGGTCATATGATTGTTGGGTTTTTTTCTCTGTATCTATGAAGCGCCTTGAGGCGACTTATGTTGTGATTTGGCGCTATATAAATAAAATTGAATTGAATTGAATTGAATATTCACAATTTCAAAATAATGTTAAGTTAGTTTAAAGCAACACAAAACCACGTGAGCAAACCAACAGAAGGCTGACGCAGGAGCAGTCCTAGTAAAAACATAAAAACTAAAAAGCAGCAACACTGCAGTCACAAAGGTTAAAGTGGCAAAGGTGGTGTTGGTGAACTTACAGGTATAATTACTGTAGAGCTGATTAGTGGTGCAGGATCAAGCAGAGACAGCAGCTCCAGAATCTTAGATTAGCAAACTCTAACACGGGGATTTACACTTTATCAGATTATCAGATCTGTTATTAAAACGAGAAACTGGATGTGATTCTGATCCTTAAACTGATCTTTAAACTGAATCACAGCCATTAAATGTATATCAGAGGTGCCTTTAACATGAAAATTCCAGTTTAGCATTTTGTTCATCACCTCTGATGTTTAAAACCTGAGGTCACAAGCTAGAGCTACATCTGCCACTGCATGATGATAATCAGTCAATAGTCCACAGCATGAAGCATATACTGTTTAAATTTTTATTTTATTTATAACATAAAGTGTTAAATGAAGGCATATATTAGGATTAGAGTGATTTTCTTTTACACTTCTGTGCTATCGTGCCACTTTCTGCCAAAAACCTCCCTCTGCTGGCCGTTAAAAATAATACAGATTTAAGGATTTACTTTTGCAGATAATCTGTTATTTCAATCAAAGACCCACAAACAGTTTTTTAAATGTGGACAGTTCCCAAGGACCTTTTTTTTTTACTTCCCGTGCCTCTCTTATGGAACAAAACAGCATCATGTTTTCTAGACCGATGGAAGTTAAAAATATCACTTCTGATCTGTGGGGGGAGAAGTCAGCCTACGCAGTTGTTAAAAATGTTTTAAGCATAGCTTTATGTTGGTGCACAAGTAAGGACTGGAGAAAACACGACATACACTTTGATTTTAAGGACAAATCATTCTCACAGATGGAGCTGCCACCTCGCCCACAACTGTTTGACTTCAATGGAGTCTCCATGACCAACATCTTCACTGACAATTGGGACAATGTACAGAACTTCAAAGCAAGACCGGATGATATTCTTATCGCAACTTACCCTAAAGCAGGTACTGATCTGTATATAAAAGTATGGAGCTTATGTAATCATAGTATTTTTTTGTGTGTGTGTTCATCAACAATTTTGCATTGATGTCCGAGTGCACACACCCCACTTTTCAGTTATTTATTTGTAAAAAATGTTTGGAATCATGTATGCTTTTCGTTCCACTTCTCACGTGTGCACCACTTTGTGTTGGTCTTTCACGCAGAATTCCAATAAAATTGATTCATGTTTGTGGCTGTAATGTGACAAAATGTGGAAAAGTTCAAGGGGGCCGAATACTTTTGGAAGCCACTGTATGTTTACAGCTAAACATAAAACATTTTGTCCATTTCAACCTCAGGAACCACATGGGTCTCTTACATCCTAGATCTTCTGTATTTTGGGAACATGAGTCCAGACCGTCAGACATCCATCTCTGTTCATGACAGAGTTCCCTTCCTGGAGATCTGCGCACCTCCTCTACCTTCAGGTTGAATCACGTGTCCACTGTCACTTTAAAATACATCAGACAATTACAATGTTTAGTATATTAACCTGTGGTATCTAATCCTCCTGATAATTCAGGTGCAGACCTGGCAGACAAACTTCCCACCACTCCTCGTCTCATTAAAACTCATCTACCAGTCCAGTTTGTACCAAAGTCCTTCTGGGAGCAGCGCTGCAAGGTCTTGCACATACACCCATAGCCACACAGATATGTGATTTATGAAACTCCCAGACCATAAATTAGTTTTATCTCTTTCTGTAGGTAGTCTATGTGGCCCGCAATGCAAAGGACAATGCAGTGTCCTATTTCCACTTTGACCGCATGAACCTTATCCAGCCAGAACCAGGAGACTGGGGCAGCTATCTGCAGGGTTTCATGGAGGGAAACAGTGAGTTCAGTGTAGTTTTACAGCAAAGAGACCACACTATTTCATTTCCTGTATAAACATTCCTTTGTGTATTGTTCTGTGGCTTCAGGGGTTTTTGGATCCTGGTATGACCATGTGAACGGCTGGTGGGAGAAGAAGCAAAGTTATTCAAATCTCCACTACATGTTCTATGAAGATTTGATTGAGGTGAGCTGGGCTAACATGTGTACCATTTCCAACTGAGCTCTAACACTTTGTTTAATCATCACACGCCTTTTAGAAGATGCTTAAAATGCCAAACCAAACTCTCAGTTCAACTCAGAAATACTGTCTAAAAATGACATGCATCAATATTCTAATCCAATTACTACATTTTTCTGATGATACGTGGTAATATTTCTCAAACCAGGCTGTATTTTATTCGTTCTTCGAGCACTATGTGGTGTGCATTTTAATTCCACAGTGCAAGAAAAGCCAGCCAGAGCTGCAGATGGGTGTACAAAGAAAAAAAGCTATGACTCGTGAAGACTTTATAATGTTTGGTATCTCTGAAATTCACTGATTGCAAAAATTTCTCTAAACCATGTCCAGTATATTTTGTTAATTGAATCCTTTTTGATGCATAAGTAACAAATAGAGAACACACTATTTTCCACCAAATCCTCATCCAGCAAACATCTCTGCTATGTGAAGGGGAAATCCCCACTCAGCATACACATATGCACACTAAAATGTGGGACCTGGCCAGTCAGCCAGCAAAATTTTTCCTCTTGTGTTCCTGGCAACATACCAGTTTTTAGCCTGAGATGCTAACCGTCTGTGTGGACTGTATTGGATCAATGATTTGTTGTAAACCTTGTAGACTTATTACCAAAAGTTTAAACATTTATGAATGTGCTACAAGTGAGTATTTATCTATTATCAACATTACTAAACCAGAGATAAAGTAAATTAATTTATTGCATGCTAATCTAAAGGTTCTGAAATTTAGGAAACACAAAAGGGTAGAAAAAAATCATATCTAATTTTAATGTGAACAGGACTCTGAGCAAGAAATAGACCGACTGTGTTCCTTCCTTGGTTTGTCTCCATCACCTGAAGAGAAGGAAAGAGTCAGAGCCAGTGTGACGTTTGACAGCATGAAACAAAACAAGATGACCAACTATACTTCAGTTCCAGTGATGAACCACAAGGTGTCTCCTTTCATGAGAAAAGGTACAACTTCCTGCTGGGCAACATTTTTTTTTCTCTATATCTATATCAGTGTGTGCTCCATTTATCATTAGGTTAATCAAATACTCTGAATGTTCTCCTTCTCCAGGGAAAGTTGGTGACTGGAAGAACCACTTCACTGTGGCCCAGAATGAGCAGTTTGATGAAGACTACAAGAAGAAGATGAAGAATCCTGATTTGAAGTTTCGCTGTGAAATTCAAAGAGCGGGCTAGAGCTGAGAAGTGATATGCAATTAAATAGTTAAGAATAAATCAAATATTAAGCCTGAACAACTGAATTCTCTTACATTGTGGTGCTGTTGGCTATCTATCAG